TGCTTCACATATTCCTTGAGCAACTGCTCTAAACTCTGCTTCGGCACTGGTTCGAGCCACCACATTCTGCTTCTTACTCCTCCAGGTTACTAGGTTCTCCCATACAAAGGTACAATATCCTGAAGTGGACCTTCTGCCTTCAATCGAGCCAACCTAGTCTGCATCTGTGTAGACTTCTATTCCCTTACAGTCAGTTTTTTTAAAGAATGGTCCTCTGCCAGGTGAGCCTTTGAGGTATCTGAGTATCTTGTAAACTGCCTCCAGATGAGCTTCCCTTGGTGAGTGCATGTGTTGGCTCACCACACTTACTGCAAATGCAATGTCGGGTCTGGTATGAGACAAGTATATTAGTTTGCCTACTAGTCTATGATATTTGTCTTTGTCAACCAGCTTTCCAGCATCTTCAGTCTTCTTTCCAGCTTCAGTCTTGGGTGTCACTTGGTTTGCATCCAAGCATACCGGTCTTTGTAAGGAGATCAAGGACATATTTCCTTTGGGAGACACTGATTCCTTTCTTTGATCTAGCAACTTCCATTCCCAAGAAATACCTCATTCGCCCCAGATCTTTTACTTCAAATTATGTGGCGAGAATCCTCATCAACTTTTCCATTTCTGCCTCATTATCGCCGGTAAGGATTATATCATCAACATAGACTATTAGGATTGTCTTCTTCCCATTTTGGCTTGTTTGAAGAACATAGTATGATCTGATTGTCCCTATAAATATCCTTGGTTCTTTATTACTCTAGCAAACCTGTCAAACCATGCTCTTGGGGACTGCTTGAGGCCATAAAGTGACCTCTTAAGTTTACATACTTGCTTCTCTTCCTGCCCTTTACTGAACCCCGGAGGTAATTCTGTGTAGACTTCCTCTTCTAATTCTCCATTCAAGAAAGCATTCTTTATGTCAAGTTGGTGAAGTGACCAATCCAAATTAGATGCCAATGATAGGAAGACCCTTACTGTATTTAGCTTTACCACAGGAGCGACTGTTTCGGTGTTGTCGATGCCATAAGTTTGTGTAAAACCCTTGGCAACGAGATGAGCTTTGTATCGCTCTATTGTTCCATCGGCTCTGTATTTCAGGGTAAACATCCACTTGCAACTCCCAACATGTATCCTTAGTGTGATCGGTCTTGTGACAGTGCTTGCACCATGGTTTTTTCCTTTGCTGACTCTGGCCTAGTCCATTTGGTCCCCTTTTTGTCATTAGTGCAGATGTTTCTAGTCCAGAACCAGTCGGCACAGTGGAGACCTTGCGCCTATTCTCTTCTCGTCTTACCTCTGAAAAAACTTCATGGATTGAGGGCAACAGTCTACGGCCTAGGATTCTTCCTCTCACTTCATCTAATTCTCAGTTGAGCCCAGCCAGAAATTCAAAGACTCTCTCATTCTCTTGCCACTTCTTAAATCTTACATTGTCTCTAGGGCATTCCCAATCTTCTTCATAACTCAGATCGAGTTCTTGCCAGAGAGCCTTCATCTCTGTGTAGTATTCGGTAACTTCCTTTTCCTCTTGTTTCATTTGCCATAACCAAGTCTTAATCTCGAATATTTGGGAAGAGTTTTCCACATCAGAGTATGTCTCTCTCATGGCATCCTAGACATCCTTTGCGGTAGGAAGAAACGTATAGGTTTTTCCGATTGAGGGCTTCATCGAGTTTACCAACCATGCGGTTACCATCGAGTTTTCTAACTTCCACTTCTGAAAGGAGGCATCGGTAGAGGATGGCTTCTTGGTTTCTCTGATGAGATATCCCAACTTGCCTTTTCCATCGATCACCAATTTGATCGATTGAGCCCATTCGAGAAAATTCTTCCCGTTGAGTTTCTCAACCGTAAACTGGAAAGTGGAATTCTCGGACCCACTCGACGTCATGGTGTTGGAGACCGCCGTCTCCATTTCGCCCGTGATCGCTGAGGACGTTGAATCCACCATGGAATGCCAAGGTTAGAGATTCCTCGGCTCTGATACCATGAAAGTAGGAATAATACTATTTGTTTTTTATATTCAATTAATATTTTGTACATAGGGCTTCTATTTATAATACGATTGTGAAAACTAAATCTCCTAAAATCGTGGCCTAGAGAATAGGAAAGTTATCTGCTGAATCAAATCAAATCAAGAAACAACTTATCCTAAATCTGGAAACTAATTCTAAGCCTAAAAATCCGGGATTTCAACACCTCTCGTTCTATTTTTTCTTTCTTTCTATTTTTGCTTGCTTGCTGCGGCGCTCCCTTGCTGAGAATTAAAGTGTACTTCTCTTTAGGGCAACCAAGGATGCTAAGGTGGCTCCTACTCAAAGGTTGGGTCTAGCTAACTAAGCACCAAATCCACATTATGTGTACTTTGTCCTAATTCTCTCACAGAGTTATGCGCTGACGTTATCCACTAATTGCTTGTTGTCACATTTTTACTGCAACAAATGCTGCAGCATTTATCCTCACAAAACATGCATATCAGAAACAACACCCTCTTGGACACACGTTAGCCCCTTTCATGATCAAGTTTTCTTTAAAAACATCACAAAAACAACACACAAATAAATCTCAGCAGAGTGCACCACATGAACTAAAAGTTTAGCAAAGAAAGCAGAAAATTAGCAACTAAGCCTTTAGATGAGCCAACCATAAGCCTAGAAATGCCTAAAATAACTTTAATTTCTTGAGTTATTTTTATTCTTCATAAAATGATCGAAATGATATATATATATATATGCTCAAAATGATCCATAGATGAATGAGAAAGTGACACCTGCACCCATGAAATTAGAAAAATTAAAGGAAAAATCTCGTCCCACTTGAGAAAGAGATTAATGCTATTGTCTCCTTTAAGCCTTATAAAAGGGAGTTCTGAATTTATTCTAAAACACACAGGAAACAACAACTCTCCCATCACTCTCAAATTCTTTCTAGTGTCTAGCAACAGTGTGATGGAGTTCAGGTAGTTGTGTAGCAGCATTAATGGTGATAAGATTTTGTGGAGCCTAGGAGTTGGGGTTGACAATAGTGACTGAGTTAGTAAGTGGACCAACTGATTACCTTTCAATTCAAAAGCCATGAAGATTCAAGATCAAAAGACAAGAAAAAGAAAATAAAAGAAAATAAAAACTTGGAACTCGTGAGAGTAGGTCAACTCCGATACCATTAAGAATTTTTGAAAAAAGAGAAACATAATGTTTGGTCTCATTAATTCAATCAATATACAATTCGTGTACTTATATCTACAAGGCTTCCTAGCTTTACTAAACTAACGGAAAGAAGAAAGAAAAATTTGAGTTATATAACCTTTTTCAAATGTAACAAAGAGGTAAATCACATAACCCGTTATTAGAGAAAATCTGTAGAGATTGGTTTCTATGCAGATTGCACGGAGGTGGTTGAATTCAAATTGTATCTTTAACACAATGTAGCCTTTAGATAGATTTTTTTTTTTTTTTTTTTGCCGCAAAAATCTTTTTGTTGCAAAATGTCAATTTTGTCACGTGATCTTAGATGTTCAATGGTTATTTTCCTAGTCTCAAAACAGTAGTTTTTTTTTTTTCAGTTTTCAAAAATATTTTATTTTCTATACAAAAAGCATTAGAACCTTCTTTCTCACTCCATTGTTGTTGTTGTTATTATTTTCTATTTTTATTTCATAATTTTTGTTAATACTAAAAAAATAGAAACTAATGCAACATCAACCTTTCGAAGCTTGTTTATGGAAATTCTTCTGTTATACTGATTTAGTTAAGACAGTTTTAATTTTCACCTTCTTTCTGGGGCAAAGAACTCGAACACTTGGATTCCAAGAGCAGAAATTAAAGACGAGGAAAAGAACGCAGGGAATATATATTGTGCAAGTAAAATAAAATTTAAGGGGATTGATCATAAATATGTATCTCACGGATAGTAACACTAGTATTCTCTATTGAAAAAGAAAGAAACAAAAAAGGAACAAAGGTCTCTCCTTATGTGACCATATCAACAATATTCCCTACGAGTTCGTAATTTCGGGCTAAACAAGATAAGCTCTTCACATAGGTCACTAGTGAGTGATAGGACTAGTACGTAGTTGTATTTTCAGGCTGAACATTGAAGCTCAGTATGGATTCGAACATCTTTGTGGAGCACGGCAAAGCGAACGGTTCATAGACAGTTTGTGCCCTAATCTGCTCTTGGAACTGATTAAGCAGTGCTTGAAACAATCTCGAGGACAAAAGTGAGATTGGAACAACATATCGTTCACGTTCTTCGCCCACATAAATTGGAAAGAACACTACTGGGACCACTTCAGCTGTGGTGGGACTGACTTTCTTGACACATAATTTAATCACTTTTCCTGCAAGCAAGCCCTTTCAGCCTAATTGGCTTCTCGATGAGCACTTGAGAAGTTAAAAGCTTCTGTGAATTCTATCGCCGTTACAAAAGTAGAAATAAAAGGCTCTTGAAATGAGTAGAGTTGCGCCTGAGTGTTAAATATTGTGAAATTTATAGAGGTGTAGAACAAAAAGTACTTTTTTTTTTTTTTTTTTTTCCTTTACTTTGTTATAATGGAATTAGGACATGACATTTGTGTGGGACACGAGTTGCAGAGGCAAGACAACTCTAGTATCCAAATTCTCCTATCCAATCTCTGACTTATTTTGGTTTGGTTTAGTTTAGTAGTTTTTTTTATTATTATTTTTTATTTTTCTGTAGTATTGATCGCTATTGCCTCTATTTTTTTTTTTTTTTTCCTTTTTAACATATTTTCAAATGAGTTTTCTCTAATAAGTCCTGAAAAATTAACTACTGAAAAGACCTAATTTTAAGCACCAGATTTATCATAAACTATCTATTCTACATACTTTTTCAATTTAATATAATTTTAATCAGATCTAATGGTTAGAAACTAACCACATGTAAGAAAACTCATAGAAACCCTCTTTTCATAGTAAAAACACAAATTGTCGTCTCATTAATTTAAAAAAGAAGAAAAAAAAAGACGCAAGGTATTCAAAGGTAGATCCATGGAAACATCAAAACACATATTTATGGCCCTAATTTTATTATGTACTGTTACTTTCAACCATAAAGAAATCCAACTCTTGGCTAAATCTGCAAAACGCACATCTATTAGAGTCTAACTTACGGTCAAAAAGGTTTGAAATTCTTATGGCGACTATTCTGCGTAAGTGTACAAAAAATACATGCAATAAAAGTCACTTCTAAAAATTGGTGAAGCAATAATGTTGAACTGTTTAAGCTCTCGTCAGCTTGCATTGCAACTGTCCACCAATGTTTAACTCTTCAAGTAATTCACTTTTTGCCGCCTCCTTCATGCAACAGCAGATAGATCCTCTTGAGGGAACAGGAATTACATAAGGTAACAACTTCCTCCCATCAATTTCATTTTTCTCATAGAAGCAGAACATTTTTTTTTTTTTTTTTTTTTTTTTTTTTTTTTTTTTTTTGTACATGCACACAATTTTGTCAATTTCGAGCTTCAACTTTCAAGGGTTCTATCATTCGACTTTTGCCACACCTCCAACAGGCATGCTGTTCTCCGCTACAGTCTCCTTAACAAACCTGGTAAAAAAAAAAAAAAAAAAACCGTGAAAACCTCAATCTTAGGGAAATAAAAGAGGAAACAATATAATGCTAATCCAACTTTAAGAAGCTTCGAACGAAATTGACAAGAAAGTCCTCAAGTATTTCAAAGACATAACATACTTTGCCAACTTGTCCCGTGATGACTGCAAAATGTAGATGGAGAGAATAAACGAAAGCATGAGACCTGTACAGTGTAGACATGAAGTTTTTTAGAAGCATTTGTTGAAATATGCTCTACATATTCTACAACGAGTGCTGTTCAATTTATGCACCCGTGATTTGTGCATCCTGTGGCAGCGGAACTTTGTCCTCTTTTTTTCACTCAAGACTTGGGTTTCAAGAAAAGGCTAGCGGAAAGGCCTACTCGATATTTACCAGGAAAGACAAATTATGCCCTGATCTTTTTCCACCAGTAAAAAAATAGAACAATAAGATATCTAACGATAAGGGCCATAAAGCAGTTGACAAATACTGACCCACTTTTCTTTTCTCCACAAAATTAAAATAATAAGATATCAAGAGACAAGGCATTTAACAAACTTTGACACCTTCACCAGACTAATAGGAATCCCTTTGAGTTCCTATCCGTGTTTACTAACCTGCGATTTGGGAAAAGGGAAGGGAATAAAATTCCTTATTTTGAACTCTGGTGTTTACTTTTGTCTTTCGGAATCAAATGAAGAGGGACACACATTAAATAAGCAATTAGGTTCCTGGATGTTAGAGAAAGCTAGGAAGTTAGTTTGTTACGGATTCTATTAAGTACAGTAGAGGTTCTGTAAAGTAATACCAGAATTAGTTAGTAATTAACTATAGTTAGTTGTAAGTGTTTAGTTAACTAAACTAGTGTGGTTAGAACAATGTATCTAAGTAGAGATTACTCAGATTAGTGAGAAAAATAATCCATATCCATTACACAAATATCTTTCTCTCTCTAGAACTCCTTTTCTTTCTTCTTGTAAAAGCTTTAATATGATATCAGAGCCTGTGGAAGAAGCTCAAAGCTCAGCTACTTCAACAATGGCGGCTGCAAATTCTTCAAAATTTAGTCCGGTCTTCTTTACTCATCTGATTGCTTCCAAGCTTGATCTTTTTTTTATAAGAAAAAACAAGTATATTTATAAAAATCAATAAAAGTCTAATACAAGAGAGGAGGATAAGTTATCCTCGCTAGAAAAGATAAAGCCTAACAGGGCTGAAAATTAGAAAGGAAAACCCTTAAAGGCTTTCTCAGTTAAGGATGCTGTAAACTTTGCTTTTTCAAAGAGGTTATTGATATCCATCTCCCTTTCCTCAGAGATCCTAGCATTCCTTTCCGACCATAAAAATCCACAGAACTGACATCACCATACTCTTCCACAGCACTTTAGTCATCCAGTCTTGCCAAGTCCTCCTTCAAAACCGAGCTACAATGGCCACAGGAAAAACCCAAGAGAATCCAATAATAATTTACGCCAAACCGATCTTGCCACTGGACAATGCATCAATAAATGATCAATGGATTCATCACTATCCCTGCAAAGAACACACCACGAAGGGGAGAGGACCCTATGGGGGTTCCTCTTCTGCACCAAATCACAAGTATTTAATTTCCCCAGCGCAACCAACCAAGCGAAGACTTTTATTCTATAGGGGAAACAAGATTTCCATATGAATTGAAAAGATTCAAAATTCGAATTTTCAGGACTATTTGCTAAAGAAGAAAAGAAAGACCGACAAGAAAAACCTTTAGGATCACACAACCAAACTCTTTGATCAAGACTTGAAGGCTGAACAGGAACAGAGTTGATTAATTGGAGTAAAGAATGCAAATCCTATACTTCCCTCTCATTCAAACCTCTTCTAAAACCGAGATTCCAATTCGGATCACCATTTTCGGAGTGTATACAGACTTGTGCAACAGAAGCATCAGGAAGATCCAAAACTCTGAAAAGACGAGGAAATAAAAAAATCCAAGGACTCATTCTCACACCATTTATCTTTCCAAAACAAAATTTTAGTCCCATCCCCTACTCTCAATTTTGTGTTTTGAAGGAACACCAACCAACCCTTAAGAGATGAATTTCCATGGATTTATGAAAGAACCCCTAGTTACTAGGTTCGAGTCCCAACCATTTGGTTGTAACCCATATTTACTCCTAATAACTGTAGCCCACAAAGAATTTTGCTCCAATGGAAATCTCCAAAGCCATTTCCCTAACAAAGCCAAATTTTTCTTCTTCAAGTTCCCAATCCCCAACCTGCCTTTCTCCTTACTTCTTGACACGACATCCCAAGCCAACAAACTCCTTGATTTATCACCCTCCTGATTTTCCCAAAGGAAATTGCTCATCATTCTTTCCAGCACATCCACAACCACTCCAGGCATCTTAAACAAGGACATAAAGTAGATAGGAATGCTTGCAAGGACAGATTGAATTAGGGTTAATCTCCCACCCCTTGATAGAAAGGCCTTCTTCCAACCATCCACCCTTTTCCCCACCTTTTCAATAACCGGTGACCAGAACTCTAAAGATAGCAGATTTTCTCCCAACGGCAAACCCAAATACTTCATGGGCCATTCTCCCACTTCACACCGCAAAGCTGCTGCAATTTATTGGATTAGATTCTCCTCTAAATTGATCCCCGCCAATAAACTTTTAACCACATTAATTTTCAAGCCCGAGCATGAAGTGAAAAATTTTCAAATTGCATTTACCTTCATGATGTTACTAAGGTTCGCTCCCAATAAAAACCAATGTATCATCGGCAAACTGAAGATGTGACACCGAAACTGCCTCTCTACCAATTAAGAATCCCTCCACCACACCCAAGACAATAGCTTTGTCCATTAATCTACCAAGAACGCCCGCCACTAAGGAGAAAAGGAGAGTGGATTTTCTTGCCTTAAACCCCTTGAGACTCCAAATCTTCCCCTAGGTCTCCCATTGAACATGATCGAATAATTGGCCGATGATAAGCTTCTGCATCCATAACCTCCATTTATTACCGAAACCCTTCTTCTCCAACACCTCATCTAGAGAAACCTCCATTTAACATGATCGTAGGCCTTTTCAAAATCCACTTTGAATACCAATCCCCTTTTCTTCTTTGACCGATACTCCTCGACTGCCTCATTTGTGATAAGCACCACATCTAGAATCTGCCCATCCTTCACAAACGCATCCTGGGACGTCAAAATTGTATCGCTACTCACCTCTCTCAGTCTGTTTGCCAAAACTTTCGTTATGATCTTGTAAATGCTCGTCACCAAGCTTATAGGCCTATAATCCTTCAGTCTTCTTGAATCGGTCTTTTTCGAAGTAAGATAGAGATAAGTGTGATTGATGGTTGAGTTAATCACACCATTCCTGAAAAATTCCTCAAAGACTTTAAGCACATCTCCTTTCACCACACCCCAACACTCCTGGAAGAAACCTGTAGAGAACCCATCAGGTCCTGGCGATTTATCCCGATCGCTACTAAAAACTACCAATTTAACTTCCTCCTCTTCAAACGGTCTTTCAAGCCACTGAGCCTTATCTCCCGAAATCTCCCCCCAATCTATGCCCTCGAATGACCAAGAGCCTATTTCCTCCTCTTTGAATAGCTTCTCATAGAACGAGATAATCTCTCCTACAATCTCCTCCTTATCCTCCAAGACCGAATCATCTTCCTTGTCTAACCTTGTGATTGCACTTTTGTTCCTCCTATTACTTAACAGCTTGCGAAATAACTTAGTGTTGGTGTCCCACTCCTTAATCGACCTAAACTTCATTTTTTTGTTTCCCAGCCACCATATCCTTAAAGATTATGTCTTCCAACCTGTTTCTTAAAATTCTTCTTTCCTCACTTTCGTCTTCCTCCAAAAAACTATCCTCCTCCTTGCTGTCCAGCCTTTCAATTTTCCCCAAGATCTCACTTTTTGCCAAGTTTTTATCTCCAAATGACTCCCGAATCCAAACCTTGATTTTCTCCTTCAACCCTTTTAATTTCTCCATCAATTTGAAGCCTTCCCGACCCACCAGATTCAGATTTACCCACCATGATTCTACTTCCTTTTTGAAACTCAGATGATCTAACCACATGTTTTCAAACAGAAAAGGGGTTGGTCCCTAATTAATTTGTGCTGTGTCCAAAATCAAAGGAAAATGATCCAAACAAGCACTTATCCCCACCTCTTGCCTAACCTCGTTGAACAAATTTTCCCACCCACTCGTGACTAGAAATCTGTCAATTCTGCATTTAGCCACATCTTCTCTAAAATTCGACCATGTGAATTTGGAGTTAAAAAAATACTAGATCCTTCAAATCCGCCTCCCTTATGAATTCATCAAACACCTTCATCCTTCTCGTTAATCCTCCACCCGGAAATTTCTCATGGTTGAATCTTGTAACGTTAAAATCCCCACCAACACACCAGTTCAGTTCACAAATGCAATTCAACCCGACCAGTTCGTCCCTAAACAAAGCTCTTTCTCTATAGGAATTAGGCCCATACATCCCATATAACCACCACGAAGAATCCCCTCTTTCTATTTTAATTGACACCAAAAATTGTCCAATCAAACTCTCACTAAGTTGTATTTGCCCTGTTGTCCCAAATTACTACAATGCCTCCCGATCTTCCCATGGAAGGAAGAGCTTTTCCAACTCCAATATCTTCTTTTCCACAAACTCCCAATAATCCTTTCATCCAAAATTTCATTTTGGTCTCTCGCAAAATTACCAAGTCCGGCTTCATTCTATTCAAAGTCTCCTTTATTACACCTCTTTTTCTGGCCGAACCTACTCACCTCACGTTCCATGAGACGATCTTCATTTATAACTTCTTTTACCCCCTTGATTCTTGCCTCTCTTATCTTTTGATGCTGCTTTCCAAGTTTTTAAGTTCCCTCATGTCTCTCTTTGGCTTGCAAGGTCTTTCAAATTTTGAACTTCTTGGCTCCTTATATTGTACCCTCTCTACCACCTTGTAAATAACATCCCATTCCTCCTTTGATAAGGCTATAATGGGTTGGATATAATGAGGATTCTCAATTAATTTCCCGACCCTCTCCATTGTGTTTATCCCCGAATCGACTTCAATTGGAACTAGGTTAGAACTTTCCCCGTTGTAACTATCAAGGTCTATTGGGTTCACAGAAATAAATCTGATGCGGCGGAATGGAAAGAACGGGATATTAAGGGCTTAACCCGGACAAA